CCTGGCGTCTGCCGTGGTCAGACCAGCGAGCCTCCTGCAGGTCACTCTCCTGGCGTCTGCCGTGGTCAGACCAGCGAGCCTCCTGCAGGTCACTCTCCTGGCGTCTGCCGTGGTCAGACCAGCAATCCTCCTGCAGGTCACTCTGTCTCATTCTCTCCCTTCCAGCCTTGGCACCCCTTAAATGACAGCTATACCCTGTACCCTGGGGGCTTCAAGAGTCTTCTTCTTTTTTTAAATTAACCAGAAAAGTTGACTGTTTCTTAGTATTTGCACTCCTGCTGTGACAGTTGTAGGTTTCCTTTAGGCAATGCTGAGCACTGGGAAGGTGGATCTGTAGACGAAAGCTTTTCTGGGAGGAAAGTAGCTGATACCTCAACCCATGAACCTCCTATTCTGGAGGTTCCAGGGATCTATATCAAAACAAAACAACCACAAACAGGAGGCCTCCCCTAGTAATTTTAACGTTGAGCGAGTTTTGGTGACCACTCATTGACCTAACTGCTGTCCTGTGTCACTTAATGACAGGGATAGGTTCTGGGACACGTGTTGTCCACACAGCAGAGTTACCTACCCGGGCCTGGCTGTGTGTCCTGCTGCCCGCCAGGCTGTGTGGTGCATCGCTGAGCCGGGCAGCATGTTCTGTGCTGAACACTGTGGGCAGGTGGCACGGTGGGGAGCGGCTGTGTTGGATCAGGAGAGCACAGTAAGAGTATGGTATTGTGCTCTCATGGGACCACCCTCACGTATGGGCTCTTCTTTGAGACGTCGTCATGCTGTGTGTGACAGCACCTCAGTGGCCTCCTGACCAGTCTCACTGCTAGCACTCTTGGGCTCCCCCTCCTTCCCCCCCAGGTGCTGTGGCTCCCCATTGCTGCCAGCATGAGCTTTCTAAAACGAACAACTTACCAGGCACCTTCTGGGCAGAATCCTCCTATGTCCTCGTTTTGAAGGGGATTAAAGCTAAAATCCTCATCTTAGCACGATTTCGCCCAGGGCTGTTTCACTGTTTCTCCCCTTGGTTCTTTGCCTCGTGCAGCCCGTTGTGATCAGCACAGTGACAGGACCTGTTCTCTGGCCCCTCTCTGCTGGGCCCTGTGCTGCCTCTTTTCCATGGACTGTCCTATCTCATTTATCCTCCCCCACAGCTCCCGCCAGGCACTGGGTGAGTCATTACCTCCTTCTGGGCCGTGGTCACCAGCTGGTGAATAGAGTGGATCCTCCTGACATCTGTAACACTCTCTCACAACTTTGCATGTAACTTGAAGTCCCTGGGGGCTGCCATGCCCCCACCCTCATACCACTGTGTGGTCATACACCTTTGCTTCCAGCACCGTCCTTGTTCCCGTCTGGCAGGGAAATGCCTACTAAGTCTTTTTTTTTTTTTTTTTTT